GGAGGGAATGTTTCCGTGTGGACGCGTGTGCGTGGGGGTGGGGGTTGGTCGGTTGGTAGCGCAGTGACTCTGTTCTGAGTGGCCTTCTAACTGCTGTCCTGCTGTCTCCCTCCCTAGTCGGCGCTCCCGATCCTGCCCGGGCTGCCCATCCACCCGATCTCCAGGCTTTCCTCCGTCTGTAGGCCCTTTAGTGGTGTGCTTAACTTTCTATTCCTCCTGTTTTTGGTTTTTGGTTTTTTTTAAATAGGCCTGACGAGCTGAGAATGGCTTGTCTAAAAACAAAGCAAAAAATAGGTGGTAGAAAGTTGAAAAGAGCTATTGAGTGGAGTAAGAAACCGAGTAAAGGAACAAAGGTCCTAGTTGTTTAGAAAAAAGGCAAGAGGCCTGTATTTGAGGCCTGGTGTGTGATCTCGTGGAGGGGGGATTTGAGGAGTGGAGTTATCAGAGGTATAGGAAGTACATTGTAGAGGGCTTTATTAAGACGTATTTTCACATATTTAGCATTCAAATAGGTCTTAATATGGTTAAGTTTTAGAGCAAACAGTTTTTTAACTTGTTTCTTGCTCTCCATGGTTAGCTTCGGGAAATATTGAACTGGTGTGGTTTTCTTTCACCTTTGCAAAATTGGGAAGTTTCATTTTACTTTAACTTAAACATGGAGTTTGTGCGGTTTGTATTTGCTTACCTTTTAAATGCAAACTCGTAAGAATTACAGAATCGTAATTAAGATTATCTTAAGTTTCCATCTGCTCCTCAGTTTTACTCAGCTTGAATAGTTTTTAAGCCTGCTCAGCTGACTTCTATTACTTTGCTCAGGCGTTTTGTCCTCATTTTTAAAATTTCCTTTGAAATAGTTTGTATACTTGACATTCAGAATTCTAGAAGGTGCTAGAATAAGATTAGCATATTAGAAAAATGGGTGGCAGATAGGTTAGAGTAAAATCAATGCTTTCATCCAGCTATGTAAATTTGGGTAATGGTTACATTGCCATTTTAGCTTTTAAGGTTATTGTAATATCTAGGTAAGATTTTATGATCCTACACAATCCTAACAAAGACAAATCACTGGCTTGAAAATTCATACATTGACAACTAGCTGTGTCACCTTGACTTGAGCACTTAACCTAGCAGGTCTCCATTTTATTCTTAAAATGGGTGTGAGTAACTTTTTTTTTTTACCTGTTTTTGAAGCCCAGCAAAAGAATGGCTGTTAAAAAATCAAAGTGCTAGTATAAGATGGTGTTAATTTTAGAAAATTGTATTAGCTATTTTTTTTTTTTGGGTCCGGTTGTGGGGCCTGAACTCTGGGCCTGGGCGCTGTCCCTCAGCTCTTCAGCTCAAGGCTAGTGCTCTATTGCTTGAGCCACAGCTCCACTTCTGGTTTTCTAGTGGTTTATTGGAGATAAGAGTCTCACGGACTTGTCCGGGCTGGCTTTAAACCGAGATCCTCAGATCTTAGCCTCCTGGTTAGCTAGGATTACAGGTGTGAGCCACCAGCGCCCAGGTCAACAGTGCTTTTCACTAATGAAAACTTACATAATTTGAAAGAAAAAGGCTGGGATTCCAGTCTTAGCTATGCCCTTTCTATTTTTGACCTTGGGCAAATAATTTGGGTGTGGGTGTGGGAGAGGTATTTGGTGGGTCTTGGGGCTTGAACTCAGGGCCTGGGTACTGTCCCTGAGCTATTTTGCTCAAGGCTAGCATTCTACCACTTTGTGTCATAGCTCTATTCATGCTTTCTGGTGGTTAATTGGAGATGAGTTTTATGGACTTTACTGCCTGGGCTGGCTTTGAATTGTGATCCTTAGATCTCAGCCTCCTGAGTAGCTAGGATTACAGCATGAGCCACAGGAGCTGGCTCGTGTGTGTTTTAAGTGAAAAACGTGGACCTAATTTCCATTTGTGTAGTATATACTAGGATATTGACCTAGACAGATGAATTAGAACAGAAGGCCCTTCATCACTTTACTGTAGCATTGGCTGTTGACTCTTTCAACACCCTCTATTCCATACAAAAGTGTCCTACTTGAAAATAATTGAGTGTAGTGTTCGTTAGTTGATTTAAGAATCCTTTGGAGAAGGCCACCTCAGCCTCTGGTGAGATGGGATTTAAGGTGTATGTCCCCTGTTTAACTTAATTAAAGCTCTATTGGAAATGCAAATGTGTTTGGTATGATGTGAACTGATTGATGTTTCCAATTGATTTTATAATATTGTTCATTATTTCAGTTGATAGTTTATTTTTAGACAGGAATGTATTTCTGTAAGTATAGTGTTATTACCCATGCATTTTGTGTGTTTGCTGATCCTGTGTTCTGGCTAAAGACTAGTTCTATCACTTTGAGCCACAGCTCACTTTTGGCTTTTTTGGGGGGTGGAGATGGGAGAGGGTTTTGTTAATTGGATATAAGAGTTTAACTGACTTTCCTGCCTGGCGGGCTTGGGCTTTGAATTTCCGTCCTCAGGTCTCAGCCTCCTAACTAGGATTACTGATGTGAGCCACCAGCTGTACCTGGCTCCATCCATGGATTGATTTTTGAAACCTGTTTATAAACTTGAGGATCTGTTAGCCAGTTTTCAAGACTTCAAGTTACAAAATTTCAGTGTGTATTTTAATCAACTTGTTGCTTCTCATAACCAGTTCTATCCTGATTTTAAAACTATCTATTCTACCCATTGGCACCACTCCCAAGTACATAGATGTACTTTGTGCTACCTTCTAAAGATCAGATTAAGCCAGGTACCAGTGGCTCACACTATAATCCTAGTTACTCTGGAGGCTGAGGTCTGAGCATCGAGGTTCAAAGCCATTCGGGGCAGGAAAGCCCATACGGCTTTTTATTTTTAATAAAAAACGCTGAAGTGGTGCTGTGGCTTACGTTGTAAAGCACTAGTCTTGAGCAAAAGAAGTTCAGGGACAGGGCCCAGACCCTGAGTTCAAGCTCCAAGACTGGCTAAATAAATAAATAAAAATAAAAAAAATCAGATTAGGTAAAAAGTACTCAGGTTGGTAAACTTAACCTGCCCTGGAAACTGAAGTGAATTTTTACTGAGAACCGCTCTGAAGTTCACTGTTGGGCTGTAATTTAACCTGCTTTGTGTCCTGAGAGAGCAGGTTCAGAGAGATAGTATGGAGGATATCCCTCTCATAACTCTCAAAAACCAAGTTGGCTTGTAAAGAGATAGTATAGGAAAATGCTGTTTTTTATGGCCTCAGTGTTTTGTAGTTGTTTCTTGTGGTTTTTGTATCCTTGCTCTCTGTGAAAACACAAAGGAACTTCTCAGCGTTCTTACTCTTGCTCTTTTGTCTACCTGTCTGTATTTCTTAAGAGTTTTAGACTGTATTGTATAATTAATTGATACCTTAATTAGGGCGTTAGTTTTTAAGAGCTTTTTTAAAAGGGGAGTATAGTCTTATGTATCCTAGGCCAATCTCAAACTCTTGTCTCCTACTTTAGCAGCCCCAGTGCTGGATTACAGTTGTAAGCTACTATACCCAACTAGATCTTTTGTCTATTTACTTGTGTCTGTGTGTCTGTGTTTCTGTCTGTTTCTGTTGGTTGTGGGGCTTGGACTCTGGGTCTCAGTGCTCTCCCTCAGCTCTTCAGCTCAAGGCTAGCACTCTACCACTTGAGCCACAGCACCACTTCTGGTTTTCTGGTCGTTAATTGGAGATAAGAGTCTTATAGACTTTCCTGCCTGGGCTGGCTTTGAACCATGATCCTCAGATCTCAGACTCCTGAGTGGCTAGGATTACAGGCATGAGCCACT